TTATTCTGTAGCTGCAATTATTGTTGTTATGCTACCATTTTTTTTCTCTGTAATTTTTATCCTTCCTGGTTCCAAGAAGCCTAGGACTGCGTAGTTGGCTTCTGTCATTTCACCCTCACAACAAAGTCAGTACTGTACATGTAACAACCATTTTGTACCACCTCCCTAGATTGACAGTTCATATTCAGGCCTAGTTCAGATCACTTAGTGCTACTTGTTACAGCATGAAAGGGCTCCTCTCAAACTTTGCATGCCCCTCCTCTTTGCCCTCACAAGTGCCTACCCTTTACTCTCAGGTTTGGGCTGTGAAATCTCAGGGGCCAGCTGCAACTGCTGACCTATCAAGTGTAGTTTATGCTGGCTGTTTCATTTATTGGAATCATTATGGTAATGTTTAAATCGGCAATTATGTGGTATCTCATGTGTCTAATTATCTTGATATGTCTAATGCAACATTCCTCAATCTGATGGTCTCCCAAAGTTTTAGCTAGCCTTAGCTAATCTCTTCAGTGGTTTAAAATGATGGACAATATACAGTAATCAAGACATCTGAAAGGCACCAGTTCGAGGCAAGCTCGTTTAGTGTTTATCTCTCTTTTTTGTATACTTCTTGGTGAGACACAGCTGTAAAAGACATTGTGTGAGATAAGTTATGCTAAGAAATGAAGGTCACCCCATTAGCTTGATGGCTGATCTGGGATCTGAATCAGTCTCTCCCTTATTCTCTTTGTCACCCCAGACTGCTTCATTATTACTCAAGTGGTTTGTAAGGCACTTCATGCCTTTTTTTAATGTTTTGCTGAGCAATAATTTAACTATCAATCTCTTACTCAAAAGAATTTCATAATGTATTATTTCCCTCTTACAGATGAACAAGAGCAAGAAACAGAGCAAGTGCCACAGAGCTTAAGCCCTGACCTCAGCTTTAACAAGACACAGTTAAATGACTGTCCAAGAGACTCTGGTTGTTACATCTCACCAGAAAATTCAGATCACAGCAAAGAAGACCTGGATACAGAGAATTTGTCTGATATGGTAAAGACAATCACCATTACAGAATCAAATTGAATCCATTCATATTCTCAGCAAAATTGTTAACACTGAATTTGTGGCTTCAACAAATGCACTGAATTTGTCTGTAAGCATATGAATGCAGTAACAAACATTATCAAGCCTGTCATCTGATTTCCAGCTTTTAAAAACAATTATACAAACCTCTTAAAAGCATAGGTGATGGTTTTTCAATTCATTTTTAATTTTCCTAAAGGCAGAGTGATTGCATTTTTATACATTATTTGTACAGGAAATTACTTTTCTGTCATACAAGATTGACTAGCTAATGGTTTATAATTCTAAGACTTTTCCTCTCTAAAACTAAAAAACAATCTAAATATTGTAAATAGTGTACATAATTTGTTATTTTGCAAAGCAAAGGCTAGTTATCCTGTCATTTTTATCTGATGATACATTTATATGAAATACTACTGTGCCACCAGAATGCCTCTGCAATTATAATGTAAGCAGTCAAATGTTTGATTATGAATATTTCTGGCTCTAATTTAATTAATACAATATGCAGAGTTAACCCTAATAATTACTGAAAACAATATACACTGCTGTGAGTGAAGAAACATTAGTGTATACTAGACAGTCGACTGTTTACATCAAACTGGACTGTGTATTCTGAATACATCATCAATGTGTTTTATATATATGATTAAGAATATGATTTCCATTTCTATGAAGGAACCATTCTTTTAATGTGTGTGATTTGAAAATAGGCATACAAAATTTCTGTTTCTTAATAAACAATTAAGATTTATAAAATAATACATAAAGTAAAATTGTCCACCACGACTCACAAATGGTCATATCTGCATGTATGTTAGATTTTCCTTCTTTGGTTTAAATACACCCTTTTAAAACCCGATTGAAAATAAACTAGTATCACTGAGTTCATGTTACTTTGAACATGGAAATTTATAAAACAGAAATTTCACAGTCTTGTTTACTACAAATTATAACAAATCATCTTTGTTCAATGTCTCATGCTGAAAATAAAGCTTCCCCAAACTGAAAAAGGGTTTGACTGAAAATTCAATACATTCCAATTTTATAGGTACAATGCAATGACTGATTAGGAAATTCAATGAGCTTGGATTTTTCACTAGGAAGTGTAGCAAAGGTCAGCATTACTCCAAACTCCATAATCTATTTTGGATTTTTGATGACTCAATAGTACTAGTGAGCTTGACAGATTCTGGAAGCTTCTGACCAGTACTTGGGAAAGTTACTTTCTGGACTACATATCTCAAAATCCTCCAGCCAGTGGCAAAATCAGATGGGGATTCTGACAACTGTTGTCCAAACAATGACTTTCTCAGGCTCAGACTGTGACATTTCAGTATGCTTCTGATATCATGCCCTCTGGCTATCCCGTGCTACTTAATATCTACTTGGAAGCCTCTGATCGCGTTGATGGAGTTGTGTGCAGGTCTCTCTCATGCAAATGCTGGATTTCCTCCTCCTCAGTTGACAATCCAGGTGGAAGGACTAATATGAAACACCTGGTTCTAGAATGCTAAATACTTCTATACAAGATAAGACAATAATTCCTCAGACCTTGCACTTAGATAAGGTATTTGTCTGGAAAAAAAATAGCATAGATGCAATCCTACAGGTATTGTCATGTGCTATCATTTGAACTGAGGAAATAAAAAATGAAAGACCCACTTCAATTAGATTAGAAGTCTTTATATGCAGCTTACTTTTAACAAAAGCTGGGGTCATTTGTTGCTCAAATGTGTCTGTAAGACTGCAAAATGTTAACCTAGGCAAGCCAGTGGCAGTATTTTGGAACAGTAAAGACAGATGTTGTTAAACTTCATGTCTTCTTCAGAAGGTGAAGAACAAAGGTAACACAGAGCAACCAAAAGGTCACTATCACGGTTTTTATTTGTTCTGGTTCATACACATTTTGCTACACTGAAATCTATTTCTCATATTGGTATTTCAGAAATGGGGGTTTCCATTAGAAGCCACCCCTGCTCTAAATGATAATACATATTTCCACATAAAGTGGCCAAAATCCTGTTGCTTAATGTAGTAAATTACACTAGAGGAAGCCCATTGATTCAACAGGGATTTAGTGAGTCAGCTCCTCTTTAAGATCCATTGATTCCAATTGCCCTAGTCTGTGAATTACTATGCTAAAGTAAGTCACAATTAGAATAGGCCTATTTGAGTCAACAGAACTCACAGAAAAGTTGACTCACCAAAACTCCACAGACTCAATGGGTCTATTCTAGAGCAATTTATTACACTAAGCAACAGGATTTTGGCCAGTACATGCTTTTGAAGCCAACAGGGTTGAGTCATTTTTAACTAATACAGCTCTATCTGAAATTTATGAAAATGATATTGCACATATATACTGCCATATGTCCCTTACTTTGGCAAAGGCATTTATTTGGGTCATACTTACTAGAGGAAGGGTTCCTACCATCTGGGTGCTTATTTTAACAGTGGCCCTTGTCCTGCTATTATTCACTCTTACAAGGAACCCTGTCTTTCTCCTCACCTGAGAGGTGGTCCTCAGTCTGCAACTATGTACCCTGGCAATGGGCCTCAGCCTGCTACTTTGCATATCGCAAGCTCCAGGTGTTTGGCAAGGCAAAGTGTCTAGTTACAATAGTGGAGCTTGGTGATATGACTTCCACCCTGTGGATCGTCAGTTGTGGGGTTCTGCACCGGTCGATTATCTCGCCAATGCTATTTGATATCTATATGGGGTCACTTGGTGAGGTCATCCGGAGTTGTGGGGCTCGGTGTCATCAGTATGCTGATGACACCCAGCTCTACATCTCCTTTTTTCCAACTGCAGTGGATGCTGTTCCATCCCTTGAATGCTGCTTGGGGACCATTCTGGAATGGATGAGGGCAAATGGACTGAGGTTGAATCTGGACAAGATGGAAATCTTGCACATGGGTGTCAGTGGGTTGGGAAACTCCTTCTCCTTTGGGGGAATGATTCCTTTGATGAAGAGTGAGGTTTGCAGCTTGGGCATATGCTTGGACCCAGATCTTACCATGGAAACTCAAGTGGCATCTATGGTCCGGGCAGCCCATTTCCATCTTTGGAGGATTGCCCAGCTTAGTCCCTATCTTGACGATGGGGTGCTCACAATGCTGATTCATGCACTCATAATCTCAAGAATAGACTACAGCAGTGCTCCCTGCATGGGGTTATCCTTGAGGTTGATGCAGAGACTTCAACTGGTCCAAAATTCGGTGGCCAGATTAATAACGGGTGAAGAAATTCCAGCACATCTCCCCCATTCTGGCCATCCTTCATTGGCTACCGGTTCATTTCGGCATCGATTTCATGGTTATGATTATAACATTCAAAGCCCTAAACGGTTTAGGACCGTGGTATCTATCAGAATGCCTGCGCCGAGCCAGATCTGTCCGTGATACCCATTCTTCACAGGCAAGGTGGTTAAGGAGACCCGGAGGGAAAGAACAAGAAATTGGTCCTTCTCGGTGGTCACCTGTGGAACAACCTGCCCATGGAGTTCCCCCTGGTACCCTCAGTGGATGGGTTCAAATGAGCACTGAAGACTTGGCTCTTCCACCAGGCTTTCCCTGAGTATTAAGTTTTTGAGATCTCAGCCTCCATTTTTACTATCCTTTTTACCATTCTTTTTAACCACCCATTCATCATCCTTTTTATCATCTTCATAGCCATCTGTTTTAATTTATCCTGCTGGTTATCATATTGGTTTGAGTATATGCATTATTTTATTTTTTATCGTGTTTTGATATTGTGTTGTTTATCTTCTTGTTAGCTGTCCAGAGTGGCCTGGTTGTCAGATGGTACGGGGTATAAATCAAATAAATAAATAATAAATAGGTCTCCAGGATTTACATTCCACTCGCTTCTCTATATCTGTACAACAAAGATGGATCTAAAGTAATCTAAAATATATTTTAAAAATTAAATAATTCTAAACATTTTTAAAGAAATAAACCAGGGATAGACACCATTGCTAGGACTGAGAGCCAATTTCTGCCTCCAGGACTCTAAGAGCTGCACAGAGGACCCTATATATATGTACACTTGTAAAGATGACATCATCTACTCTAGCCAACAACTTGAAAACCCCAAGCTGTTTGGTGAACAAACATGATTTAACCATGCACTGAATTGAAATTAACCTTAGCACCAATTGGGCTTTCAAGGTGAAACTATTCCATAGTTGTGGCACCACAACAGAAGACGTATTCTCTTATTTGGTGGGATACAGAAGAGGGGCCCTTTTGCAGAAAAGCCATAGGTAAATTTATGTCCCACCATCTTCCCAGAAATGGAGCCCAAGGTAGCTCAGAATGGAAACAGAGTAAACAATCATTCTGAAATACAACTGCATTACCAAGTTTTAAAGGGACCCAAAACCTAATCCTAACCCCAAAAACAAGACAGAGTCTTATATTAATTTTTGCTCCAAAAAACACATTAAGGCTTGTTTTCAGGGAATGTTTTATTTTTTTCATGTACAACAATCTACATTTATTCAAATATAGTCATGTCATCTTCTGGTTGCTGCACGATGGTGGAGGAGAGTGTTTCACTTAATTAGGACTTATTTTGGGGGTAGGGCTTATACTGCAAGCATTGTGAAAAATCCTACTAGGGCTTATTTTCAGGTTAGGTCTTATTTTCGGGGAAAAAGGGTAGCTCTTGTCTAATTAAAACCTACTCAACTGAAAATCCTATTTATCAGAAACAAATGTTTATCCCATCTACATCGTCAACAAACTATTCACATGAGCAGCTAGCAATAAACAACAGAAAGGTGCACAATGAATGTCAATTAATGTAATTTGCTTTTCAAATAAACTTGCTCTCTATGTGCACAGCGTAAGTACTGTCCTGTGTATCCATTATATAAAGGTCAATTAACCTCAATTCCAGTTAACGTGCTCAACTGAAATAAACCCAGCAGAAGAGCTATTCCTTCAATCTCTGACACTTCATACACAAACCAGTGCAAGTCTTTCTCTGAAAATACTCCATTTTGAAGTAAAAGTGTTTGG